TGTATCGCGAGCTGGTCTCTGCGGCTCTTCTGATGACTGCTTTCTACTTCCTCCCACCTCTGGACGCTGCAGCCGCCACGAAGCACGCCGCGCGCGAACGCATGTAGCCCGCGAGCGCGGAGATCGTGCAACGCCCCGCAAGTGCGCAGCCAGAGAAGATGCAACAGTTGACCCATGCACTCAAGGGTTGGCGCCCATGCTGTCCTTGCTTGTCATGCGCGCTACGGGGTGCAACGGGCATATCCTCACCTTCTTTGACGCGAACTAGTGGGCGCCACTGCAACCGAGCGCCCTTGGCACGCACACCCAGCACCACCAGAATCAGACGATTGACGAAGAGGAGCTCAGCGGCAACAGCTCCGAGGCCACCGATGAACGCCACCGGGGAAGCTCAAACCTGCCTGGCAACAGGAGGTTTTCTCAGAAGACGACCCCGGCGGGATCCAGAGGGCATTTCTTGCACGCCCCTTCAAGAGTCGGCGCCTGCACTGCAGCAGTATTTAGGGGGAGGCAGCTCTGCTGAAGAGCAACCTGACGCCACCCTCTGGGAGTAAATTGTTGGGCATGTTCAAGAGGTCCAGTCTCAGGATGACCCGCCATGGCATCTAGAGTTTGAAGATTTCCAGAAGATGAGTCGGTCCAGTTTCCCATCCATGCCTGGCGATGACGGCATCCCCTTCCCCAGCTAGTCCCCAGGCAGTGCCGCAGAGGTCCTAGATGATGTCTACCGCGTCTACGCGGTGGCTTAGTTCGGGAACCACCAGATGATGCGCGACTGGCGCCAATGGTTTTCCCGCCGAAAGCCACGCGCCGCGATGCTGAAGGCGCCTCGCTCTCTCGGCCACATCAGAAGACCCGACCTCCCCCCATGGGCAACGCAGACGTCAAGCTTCTACCGGGCGCTTTCTGCTGCCCGCTGTCGAAGGTGGTCAAGACAAGCCAGCGGTGTGTCGCGGGCCGCGGCATGCCGGGCAGTGTGTTTTCTGCCGAACGCGGGGGGATTTAACAGCACCTCTTAGGAGACGATCCCTCTGGGATGCTCCTGACCGATTTTTTGCGCCGCTGTCCAGCCCATGATCATCTCGTTCATTCTTGCTTCGCTGTCTCGCATGCACGCCCTTGCCTCTGCTGTTTCGTGCTATTTTCATCTGCGTTGTGACAATCGTTGCATAGCCACTCGTGGGGCCCCGCGTTTAGGTGCCACGCAGCTCGCGAAGGGAGTCGGGCAGGGAGACCCGAGCAGCGCGTGCGAGTTTTGCATGGGGATGGATCCGATTCCCCCCCTGGGTGCGCCATCATCATGGCGTCGGCTTGCGGCGCACTCTTGCCCATGCGGACGATAGCCTCTGCGATAGCGGATGCGCTGAAATCGTTGCCTCGTGTTTGAGGTCTAGTGCTCATTGGCCCCGCCAGCCGCCTCCACCTTCATTCCAAGAAGTGCCAATTCCTCGCGCGCGACCTGGAGCTGCTGAGAAGGCTTGTCTCTGAAAACAACAACGGTCTGGCGCAAGTCGAATTCGATGCTGCAGCTGCGAAGTATCTGGGCACGGTCATTGG